TATCCCTCTGCCCAGACCACCAAGAATTTCCACATGTCAGTGTAACTATATTCAAGAGCCTCCAGTGTGACCTTTGGTTTGAAAGTGTAATGCTTCAAGAGCATTGCAGTGGCTTCTTTTAATGATTAGTTTGTTCCACAAGCATAGACCATGTGCAGAATAAACTATTGGGCACATTTTTACCAAACTGTATAATTACCTACCTTAGAGGTCAGTGAACTATAGCCACCATCATCTGTTATGAGTAAAGTTTTATTGGACACAGCCACACTCACTTGCATGCATGTGTATATTTTGTCTGTCATCTATTGGTTGCTTCTGGAGTTAATAGCAAAGCTGACATGGAAACTCCACAGAGTAGTTGTGAAAGAGAACATTCAGCCCATCTGCCCAAAATGTTTGCCTTGTGTGCCTTTGTGAAATAAGTTGATCAATCTGGGTTCTAGTTATCACTAAGTCTAGGTAGTGATTTGGAGTGAGTGATGCAACTCATGCTTTATTCCACGGGGAGGTAGAAAAAAACAAGAAGTGTAGGGAGGAAACAGACCAGACCAAAGGCTGGATGAGGGAAAGGGCTTCATTTAGGTGGTCCAAGAGTGAGAGGAACTCTAAAGAGTTACTGAAGACACTTAACTTCAACTTAGTATCTGGGAACCTGGACCTTGGAATAGAGCTCACCTGGCCTCCTGTTATCTCCCAAGCCCACTGATAAGCAGTGGGCAGTGTCTGTAATGCTTCCTACTGAGGTCAGGGCACACAGGTGAATCAGTGGCTACCTTAGAGGTTCAACTTGTCACTTTCATCTCTTGGGCATTCCTTTTTCTGTTTAGTTTTAGTTTTTGAGACCTGGACTAAAACCCAAACCAACACAAAAGCCTTGAACTTTCCAGTTTTCCTGCCTCAAGCTCCCAAGTACTGCAGTTATAGGAGTACAACTGCTTGGGTCTCACTGACGCCAAGAGTTTCTGGCTTCCTGAGTCGAGGACCAGCCCTGATACATTAGCATACCCAACAAGTCCACAAGAGATTCATAGTGTTAGTTTTAGGACTTACAAATGGAACCAAGCAAGACAGGTGGTTGTAAATGAGGGGTCACTGAGTGTGCCTGCAAGCAGGCCCTGTTGTGTTAAAACATGCACACTTCAGGGGCTTTGAACCACAGCAAACCCATCACCATCTTTCAGGTTTGGGCTTATAGGGCTCACAGCCAATTTGAATCACAAATAATATTAAGCTAGTCATTAAAGACTATACCGTTTGACCATTTATCATATAGATTAGATGGGGAAACTGACAATAAAGTCACATGGCTTACTCTCATCCAGTAACTTGTATCCCCAATGGCAAGGTCCTTTAGGAGGAGCCCCCATGTTGAAGATGGGGGAGGTGGTTAATACTGAAAGATATGTCATACTCTGTGCATTATTCACCTTACAACCTGCAATGTACAAACCGACATCTTAGCAGCAGCGAAAAGAATACAGCTCTTGTTGAAGGGATATTTAAATTTGCCCAGTCAGCTAAAAGGAAAATCAGTTTTGACTCCTGAATCATCCATCAGTCCAAAACTCACTACTACCATACTGCCTAGTGACTTGAAAAGACATAACTATCACGGGGCCAATCTTGACTGAATTCATTTTCTTTAGTTCCACACTGTCTTGCTGAAGTTTAGAGAACTTTGACACAGGTTCAGGTCCTTTTCTGATTATGGGTAAATGACAACTCAACAACTGCGACTGATTGAAAAATGACACCTAAACATACATGCTTTGAGGTACTTCTTGGCTCCTAGGACACTTAGAAATAATTCAGGTATGTTTTCTTATCAGCTAGATATTTGCTGCCTATAAATTTCTACCTCTGTTCAACATAATATGCTCTGACAGAGTAAAAGTCACCTGGAAACCCTTCAAATGTCCTTAAGAGATTATTTATCTACTCCCATCCCCAAAGGACAGCCAGACAATAGTACATTATTTTTTATTGTTAACATGTGGGGGTGCCAGGCTTGGCTTGTTTTTCTTTTCTTTTTCTTTCTGTCTGTTTGCTCTATGTGATCTTCTCCTGTCTTTCAAATGTAGAGCAAAGACGATCTGTCCAACCTTCCATCATAGTTAGATAAAAGTGAGTTTGTTCTTTAATGAAGCAGAAAGTGAGTTACATCTAGGCAATTTCCTTCCAGGCTTTACGTGGGGACTCTTGTTTACTACACTGGGTTCATCAACCAAATGGTTATTTACTCATATTTCCATCTAGATTAGAACATAACAAACACGACAGAGTTTTTCGTTTCCTTGTGTAAGCACTGGAAAGAGGAAGGTGCACGTTCTTGCTGCTCCAGCACAGACACATCTTGAATCCTGTTTGCCCTCTTGTTCTGCCCTGGTGTAATCCCTGTGCCCTGGATTGGGTAATCATTTTACCAAATAAGATGACTCATCTAACATTTCAGAGTGGTGAAATAAACGCTTCAATGATTCTTGGTTTTGAAAACTCTGGATATTATGAAATATGCCACTTCTTTAGAAATTAAACACAGTTTTCATAAGCCTGGTATTTGAGATATTCTTTCTGGGTTTAAAGTTTCCTTAATAGACACTGGTATTCAAGTCAGTCCTGTATAGTAGGTACTAACTCAAGAATATAGTGAGGAAACCCATTTTTATATGTGATTGCCTTCCTTCAGTTCATGATGGACTCTACCTCCACAAAGGTCCTGAATCCCTTGAAACTCAACTTAGAGTTGAACCTCCTGTCCATGGGAACCCATACTGATATCTTTCTCTTCACATCCCAGACACTGTAACTTATGAAACATTCATTGCACACATCCTAAGCTCTTTTTCATATTATTAATTGCTAGTTTCTGTTCAGTACAAGGTCTTTGATGACAAATTACCAAGGGCATATTTTTGTGTGTCCATCATGGAGCTTAAACATTATTCAATAGTGCAGTTCAGTTGAACAGGAGAGTAATTGTTGATGGCAATGGTCATTACTAAAGAATGTTTCTTGGGAATTGTCTCCAGCAGAAAATTATTCAACTAAAATCAACTACTAAATCAAAGAAGAAAAGCCTTAAGATGGGTGTGGTGGCACATGTCTGTATTATTAGAAATCCAGAGGAAGGGGGATTTTGAGTTCAACATTAAGTAGGGCATCTCAGTGAGTTCCAGGCCGTCAAAGGCTATTCAGCATAATCCAGTCTCAAAAATTAAAATAAAGTGTGAACTTCACTGCAAAAAAAATGGTTAATATAATGTGTGAAGTCACTGCACTGAGTTTGAAAGTGTTGGTGTTTTCTTTTTCTCATTGCAAGAACATCTGAGAACTGAATGAGCTCCTCACGTTTAGGAAATTCAGCCTTAGAGTATATAGTACACTTATTGTTCAACAGGCTTTAAAAATCTTTGCCAATTCATTAACTCATTAATTACTAGCTAAACTGGAAAGCTGAAAAAGAAACTTGCAAAACAGGAAATAGAATGGCTGCGATGGCAGCAGTCTGAAAGCAGACATGAACATCTGTGTTCTAGACAGGTGGGAAAGAGGAATGAGGTCTATTAGGTTATATACTGGGGCTGGGTTTTCATTTTTCACTTATTGCCTGGCTTGTGGCATGGAAAGTGCCTAACTAACTTTATATTAGACGGTGTGTCTTGAATGTTACCTCTTCTGCCAGCCAGCTCACCACACCAGCATTTAATGCTGAGAAAATGTGTAGGAGCGAGGCAGGAAGATAGATACAGAAGAGGTAGTGCAAAACAAAACAGATATTCTCCATTTTAATCAAATGAACCGAAGTCGAAAATTAAAAGAAAATGCTAGAGTTGGACACTAAGTAGCTATAATCATTGGAACTCTAGGATAATACCTAGATTTAAACCTTAAAGAAATCTGCATCTGCTGCCCTCCTGACTTTTATTTTGAAGGGCATCTGTCTTCTGAGGAGTCACTTCAGGTCTCTGTCCCTCCAGATATAGGGACACACAGAGAGATATGCTGAGCTTGAGTGTGGGCTGGAGGCAGCCTCATGCTAACCCACACCAGAAAACTACTCCTTCCCCCTCAGAGCAATCTTAAAATCAATCCAGTGTTTCCTGGAGAGGCTGACATCACCCTCTCCTGTCAGAGAGAAGGACCAAGGCACTCACTTTGTGCTCATTAGAATTCTGTGTACTACACTATGCAGGGACCAGTGCCCATTTCAGGGCAGCTATAAAACAAAGTAATAAGTGTTCTTGTCTCTGTGACCCAGGTGGGGAGAAGAGGTGTCCTGAGGGAGGAGGGCTATTGAAGGAACACCAGAGGGATTCATCAGATAATGCTTACTGAATTCTAAAGATAAAATGAATGTCAGCTGTATACACTGATAAAACTTCTGAGACAGAAAAAAGTTCTAAAGTACTACAAGAATTTTAAGCTGAGGTAGGCCAGCCAGAATGGTGCTTTCTAACTAGGAAATTGAAAACATGATTCGTGTTTCTTTCATTATTTTCGTTAAGTCGTTTTTCTTCTCACAATATATTTTAAAGGGAAAATATCCCTTTAAATATCCTTATGCTATTTGCATAAACATGGAAACTGATTCTCCTAGATCTCTGGTCTGAGTCTGTGCACAGAGCCGTGAAAGCACACTCCTTACCTATGCATGTGGAGGTGTGCCTAGACATTTGTTCCCAGGGCCACTGAGCTCCAGCTGCCAAGGTGGAGGGATTCTGAGGATTAGCTGCAGCTCAGTCTGTCTGATTCTGATGGGGGGAGGCAGGGTGGCTCTGCCACTCCCTTCCCTCCATGTCAGCACTTTTTTTTAAACCATTATATCATCCACCCAGAGGTGCAGAGACTCCAGAGTTCATCCAGAGGCAGAGGAAACTTGCAGTCGAAGGCTCCACTCAGGGTTGAGACAAGACCTCATAACTCAAGACACACAGGCTGAGCTTTCTATAGAAGCAACTGACAAAGAATTCAGAAGAAGATAACCACTTTGGCTTTGAACATTCTTCTGGGGTTTGGTATTTATTTATTTATTTATTTATTTATTTATTTATTTATTTATTTTGGGTGGGGTATTCGTGTAGAGGTCACACATAGAGGTCTAAAGAGAACTTGCAGCAGTCAGCTATTTTTCACCTCTTGGGTTTCAGGGCAGTGAACACCCTCACCCCTTCAGCTGTCTCAATGGCCCTGTTTTGACTTGTGGAGACAGCCGTGTAATCAAGGCTGATCTAGAATTTTCTATGTAGTTGCTGATGACCTTCAACTTCTAATCCTCTCTCTTCAATGCTGGGATTATAGGCATGAGACACCAGGTCTGGTTTATTTCATGTGATGCACTTTGCCAACAGATTCATTTCCAGCCCTGTCTTTGAATATGCTACATCAAAGATTCTTCTCCCTAGACCACAAACAGACCAAAATTCAAATATTCTGATAATTCTGGCGGCAGAGACTATGCTTGCTGTTCTACACACACACACACACACACACACACACACACACACACACACACACTCATGTACTTGAGCTTGCACACACACACAGAGGAACACGTGCTCACACACCCCACCACACACACACACACACATACACACACTCACACACATGTACACAACGAGACACAGGAGAAAGGAAGGGAGAGAGAGAGACAGAGGAAGACAGAGAGAAAGCGCAGGGCCATACATACTGTAAATATAGGGCTCCCATTCTAAGCCTTCTTTGGACAAGCTGCCCTTTCAGGGTTCATTAGAAACAGAACCCAGAATGATCTCAGACTAAACAGCTCCCCTCCCTTATGGGTCAAAAGGAAAGGAAAGCAAGCAGAGTTCTCACAGGAAGTGTTGGTGCTGTGCCTGCCTAGTAGAGAAGGGAGGCAGCTTCCTCTGGATCTACATCCTCTCTTTCAGAAGCAGCCAATTTCCAACTTGAACTGGGTCCTAGGAAAGGTAGCCAGAAAGATCAACATTGTCACTGTCACTGTGCTTGTGAGTAGAGGAATCCCTAGAAATTGTGCCACATAGGATAGGAAGAGGACACCCAAGGCCCTTTGTCTTCTGGTATAGGTCACCCTGCCTTATATGATGACATAAGTATAAAGCAGAATGAGTAAGTGGAGTCTTGGGAACACATGGAACACAGTGATGGGGAATGTCCATATATATATATATATATTTCTCTTATTGGTTGATGAATAAAACACTGATTAGTCAGTAACAACAACAACAACAACAAAAAAAAACAACATTTCGGCAGGGCTACCAGACAAAGAGAATTCTGAGGAGAGGACTCAGAGATGCCTTCAGGGAGACACCATGTAACTACTGGGAAAATAGGACACCGGGTATTCTCCAGTAAGATAAGGTCATATAGAAATATATATATTAATAGTTATGGGTTAATAATTAAGAGAGAGCTAGCCAGTAAGAAACCTGAGCCATAACCCAAGCAGTTTGTGATTAATACAAGTCTCTGTGTGTTTATTTAGGGTTAAACGGCTGTGGAACCAGGTGGAACAGAAACTCTGTCTACCACACAGAGCTCTCTGAACCATCACTCTCTTAGACCAGCTAGGATTAAATTCCAGTTCTGCCACTTCCCTGCTCTATGCCCTATTACAAATCACTAAAGCTCTCTGTGCTTCAGTTTCCTTCTCTACAATTACAACCATAACTGGGTCTACTTCAGTGAAAAATAATCAGAATTAAATAGGGTAAATTTTCCAAGAGCTGAGGATAAACATGCCTTGAACACAGTAAAGGCTACAGAAGTGTTAGGCAAGGTTGCTGGGACACATTCACCTGGTGTCCAGAAGTTTTTGCCTTTGAAGAAAAGAAGCAGAGGCATTATGACTACTGCCCTCACCCTTTGACCAGGCTGAGCCTACCCTGGTAGGACCTATATTCTTTGGACCCATTGGCAGCATCAGAGAGTCTGTACAGGCCAAAGGACCCAGGTGTCCTCCTGAAACATCAGCTCTGAGGAGGAGGCTCATTTGCTCTGCATAGAGATTTAGGCTTCTGTTTCAAACTCTGTGCTGATTCTTATTCATCATTAACATGAGAGACAATATATATAAAGACTTTGTACCTTTTACAGCACAGCTCCATGGATGCACCTTACTGGGGTGGTGAGGGGATGAAGAAAACACACACACACACACACACACAGAGAGAGAGAGAGAGAGAGAGAGAGAGAGAGAGAGAGAGAGAGAGAGAGAGAGAGAGAGAGAGAGAGAAATGCTAGAATCTGGTGGACTAGGCTCTCTGATGGAGAAGCCACAGCACCCTGGAAGCCCAGCATATTTACTATAAACATTTGATCAGAGAAGCAGGGTTATTGTATTTAGATGAACAAGGATGTGTTACTGCATATAGACAAACAAGGAAGCAGAGGTTATGGTATAGAGCTTGATCAAGAGGACAGAGCTGTCCAATTTCAGTGGGTGCAGTCTCTGTAGGGGTAAAGTCCTCAGGTCATAAATTTTCAGGGGTGAAGCTATGGTAGACATTCTCTGCACACACTGTCAACATCTGCACATAGACCCCATCCCTCTGAGCCTCACCCTCGGAACTTTCCACTTTCTCATGGGGCTGAGGCTTTGGGGTCCTTTACATAGCTGTACCCATGTCAACAATAAATTCTTCTGTTCCCCACAACTTTGTTCTTGCTTTGTTTTTTTTTTTTTACAATATTCTGCTTTGTCTTGTTCTGTTTTGTTTTGTTGAGAAAGGTTCTCATGTAGCCCAGGCTAGTCTCAAATGCTCTGTACAGTTGAGGGTATTTTTGATATGTTGACAGTTCTGCCTTAGCTTCTCAAGTGCTGAGGTTACAAATGTGTACACTCAGATTATCTGGTTCTGGGGATAAAACCAGTGTTTTGTGCATAATAGGTAAGCATTCTACCAACTGAGCTACAATGACACTTTTCTTCTTGCCTCTACATAATGTGCCTAATCCTCTATAATGGAAGCATACCACATAAGAAACCTGATGACCAGGTGATACTTGTATGGATGTGAAATCAGGGTAAAAAACAAATGTATTCATATACTTTGGCAGATTCAACTGGGAACATAGTTTTCCATATACAGAGATGACACCTTTCATAAGTGTGGGTATCCAAGTGCGGGTGTATCTGTGCATGTACCCGTGTCCTAAAGATTCCTATGCTCTATACTGGGGCAGCAGAGGACTTCACAGGCCTTCTGAGATATAACCCATCTTTAAAGAAATAACTCAACAGTGAAATGACCAGCCTTTGGGAGCAAGGAGCCATAACATGACATATTTAACTATTCTGAAAAGCTAAGGCCTTCTCTAGTCCACCATTTGCTAGAGAGGTACAAGATGGCAGATTAGGAATTTACTTTAATCAGAGAGCCACCATTAGCATTCATGAGAGCTGCCTTCTTGGCCTTACCTTGATCTGAGTAGCAAAGAGAAACTTACCCTGCCCTCTTTGTCTCCATGGCAACTAGCATAGCATCCTCAAACATGGGTAGAATTGCCAAGGAATGGTATCATTCTATCTCCATTCTTGGGCACCTGACTGCCTTGGGCACTGTTCATCTTTGTAGCCTGGGTGTGAAACCAGAGGTAAAATTAGGGATCCCTGAGAGATCCACTCTACACCTGAATGGACTCTGTAGTAAACCCACCCACACTTGGCACTTAGCTTCCAGCTTTAGCTGAATCACTTCTCAAGTCTCATTTTCAACATCAGCAAAATGGAAATGGTGATGAACACTGGGACAGGAACAATAAATTGGGACCAAAGCCCACCCAGAAAGGAAATGGTTTAGCACCCCCATATCCCCACCCCATTCCTATCTCACTTCCACCCCATTAGCATCCCCATCACCACCCCCAGTATCTACCCTGCCAATCCCAGTGACAATCCTAGGTAATTCCACATTCTGTCAAGTGACAATCAACTATAATTGTTATACTCTATTACTTGGTCTTCATGCACTTTATAGTAGTCTTTCTTTTATTGTAAATGAAAAGGTCTGAAGAAGGCATGCCCTACAGCCATTTCTTCCCTAACATTTGAGTTATCCATAAAATTTTCAAAAATTGAATTCTTCATTTCGTGTTTAGCCGTCACTAGACCAGTTTTTAGAAAGATTGAGAAAAGTTATGTTAGGAACATACCTTTTATATTAGAAAGGCAAAAGATCACCCGTCTAGAGTGCATAGCCTTTTTTTGACCTTCTGAACCACAGAATAAGCACTCTCAACTAGTCATGTCATTTACTATTGGAGACAACTGTGATTAAAAGGAGCCAACAAGGGCAATAGGAAAATTCCAGAAAGCACAAGATGCAGGGCAGGATCCCAAGAGCAGACGTGTGTGGTACAGCACGGGATAAGGAAAGCGGTGAATTTGTTTTCAAACCTTTCATACCTCCAGTCCTGAAGTCTTTCCCATGCTGACTCATCAGAAACTGCCTTGAGTAGCTCCATCCCCCAGGTTTGGCTTTTCTCACATCCTCTTAGACATCCATCCTGTGCTTGGCAAAATGCCATGTTCAGATTACCAGTCACATCAGCCAGCTCCACAGGGAGGTGGAGAAAAGCCTGCTAATGACGACTTCTATCGGCAGTTGCTAGGGAGCTGCTTCTCCGACACTCGGTAAGAAGCCAGACTCTGTCTTCGTTGTCTCCAAAGCTGTGTGTCCTTTGGGGAGGGGAAGCTACATACATACACATAAAACAAAAATCCCCACATCTCTGGTATAATCCGTTTACTATTTATCAGGGCTTTAATTTAAAAGTAGAAGTTGCTGGGGTGGTAGATCATACATATAATTTTAAACACTTGTGAGGTTGGGACAGAGTGATTGCCACAAGTTCAAGGCCAGTCTGGGACACATGGTGAGTTCCAGGCCAACCTGGAGTATATAGCAAGATTCTATTTTAGGAAAACCAAATGAATCAATGAGAGAAAGGCAACACTGTACTGGTGTGAACGTTGAATGTTTGAGGTGGGGTATTCATAAGTAATTATCCTATATGTGGGGTAACTACCTTGAGAATGAAGACAAGGTGGGTTCTGAGAGAACCTACCTACCTGTGAGTTGTTTCTTTAAATCCAGACAAGGCCAATCAAATTGGATAGGAAAACTGGATTGAATGCTTTTCAGTTACTAATGTAGCAAAGTGAGACTACACAACGAGAAAGTATCAAAACATACTTCACTGTCAATAAACATACAGGCTGATGCTAGAGAAAGCCAGGGGAGCACATGGTGACATGAGAAGGCTTTGCAGCAGCATGGGGCCATCTTGGCCCTAACTAGACAGGAACAGTAGATGTTACTCAGCAGGGAGAACCTAGGGTCCCCAGAAAAAACATCATGGAGAGCACCAGGAGTTACCAGCCACAGAAGCTTACAGTCCTGTTCAGAGCCATGGTGGCTAGAATTGAAACCTCATTCTGAGGAACAGAAGATGGGCACAACCAGAAAGTCAGGTTCTGAGGCAGTGATACCAGCCCTGGTCACCACATCACTCTATTATCTCTGAGCCAATGAAAAACATCCAGTAATCCCTAACAACATAAAGTTGCTGCTGAGGAAAGGAAAGGCAGTGGCCAAAGAATCTTATTTGAGCTTCATGATCTAGACACAAAACAGGAAACTGTAACAATGCCAGGTCCACTAAGCAAACCCAAGGAGAGAGGGGTGATGTGTCATAGGCTTTCCTTTCTCCTAGGGGTAAAAGAGCCTTCCTTTCCTTCTTGTCTTTCCAGTCCTCACACATCATAGTTCATCAGAAATTCACTGGTAGCTTTCATGAGGCTCCAGGTCTGCAATGGGGCTGCCCTTTCTTCTCCTGCCTGGTCTGGTGACTGGCACAGTAAAGACAAGTCCTCGCAATTCACAAGTTCCCTAGCCCCAAGTTTCTTTCTAAAGACAGAGACAGCCCTGTGAAGCCCTGCTCTTTGTTTTTTCTGTCTGGTTATCCCTATTAGAATCACCTGGTTCATAAGCATCCCTTTGAAAAGCTATTCCAAATTGGACACCTGTCACTTAAGAGTTGATCTTTTGCTTTGTGTCTTGTGTTCCACGTTGACTAATTAAATTGTCTCACAAAGCAATGTCTTTATCACAGCATCTTCACACCTGTGTCATACGTTGCTCACATTTATTTTCCTCCCCCACTGCCCTCCCCATTCCCTCGCTGGAACTGGTTGCCCATCTCCTTCTGGTTAGTCTCCTTTCTGCTTTCCTACTGGAAACATTGTGTTACTGTCTGTATTCCCCAACTCTCAAAGGCCTCTTCCTCCTCTCTCACAACCTCTTTCCTGGTTTTGTGATTTATAAACACGAGTACATGAATGCACAGACATATACACACATACATAGATGTATAATTTTTAATTTAGGTTCTGCACGTGGCAGAAAACATGTATTTATCTTTCTGAGTCTGGTTTGTTTTGCTTAACATGATGATCTTCAGTTCATCCACTTTCTTGCAGATGATGATTTAAGGCTGAATAAAATTCCATTGTGTATGCCATATTGTCATTTCCAATTCATCTGTTGATGGACATGTAGGCCAGTTCCATATCTTTGCTCTTATGAAGAGAGCAGCAACAAACAAATATTAACATGCAAGTATCTCCATGCTATGTTGACTTAGTGTCCCTCAGGTATTTATTTTTCACATGTATATGTATTGTACATGTACACATGCTCATACAGGTGTGTATGCATCCATATTTGTTCATGTGATTGTGCCTGGAGGTTACTGTTGGTAGTCTTCTTTAACCACTCTCCACCTTATTTGCTGAAACACAACCCTGTCTTGGAACCTGGTTACTAAGCAGGGGGGGCATCTTCCTGTCTCTGCCTAACCAGCACTAGATCTACAGATATGCATTTCTATACCCAGATTTTTATGTAGATTCTGAGGTTTCGAACTTAGGTCTTAGGTCATGCTTTTGTGACTTAAGTTTTTTGTATCCTCCATACTGATTTTTGATGGTGGTTGTTCAATTTCCCATTCCTATTAATAGTGAATAAGGGCTTCTCTTTCACTACATCCTCACCAATATGTGTTGTCATTTTTTTCCTGGTGGTAGCACTGAGTCTTATTCATCTCCTAAGTAATTAAACTCTGCCTTTTATTATAACTGTCTGTCTTCCTTCCTTCGCACTTCCAGCATGCAGAGCAAGAACGGCGGTCTTTTTCATCATTGTGTCATTCACGGAGGCTGGGATTGTGATGTGCAATAAGAAGACATAATAGGTGAGCAAGATTAATTAGGGTAACAAGTGAGCTCACATCCTTAGTTTCTTGACAGTTTATACAGTGTTCTTAAGGGGCAAGATGTACTATCTAGACTATCTTGAGAGACTGACCGGAATGATGCTTTATTGTGGCTCACAATTTTAAGGATACCATGCATCATGGTGGGGAGGCATTTGGGCAAGAATATGAGTCAGGTGGGCACATTGTCTCTGTAGTCAAGAAGCAGAGAATGATGCTTGCTAGTACTCAGCTTGCTTTCTCCTTTTTACTTGATGTCAGTCTAGTGAATAGAACTACCCATAAGAGGGTAAATCTCAACAGTTACACCTTTCTGGACTTTTCATGGTAATTCTAGATACATTCAATCTGATATTAAAGATTTCACTTCACAACATTCTTTATAGAAAGAGAAAAACACATTACTTATTGGCCTCTTAGGTCAAGTGTAGCAGGAGAACAACATTAAAGGTGTTAGAGCATTTGACTTCAGTGTATCTTACATGGACATAAAAATAAAGCCCACAACCCAAAACCAAAAAATAAAACAGTACAGTACTGTCATGAAAACAGGCACATGGACCAGTGAAACAGAATGAAAGTCCTAGAAATAAACTTACACTAAAGTTATCTCAAGAAAATGCATTGCTTTAAGAAATGGTGATGTGAATACTGACTGTCCACATATAGAAGATGGAAACTAGACTTATCACTTACTGTTAGTAGGAATCAACTCAGGACTGGCTAGATGGCTCAGTAGGTAAAAGTACTTGTAGGCCAAGCTTGATTGCCTGAGATCAATCTCTGAAACTCATATAAAGATAGAAGGAAAGAATTTACTTCAAAAGTTGTCCTCTGAGTCCATATGCACACCCACTCTTATAATGTACACACACAATAACAATAAAAATAGAACTAATTTATGAATCAGCTTATTACTCCAGGATATGTACCCAAAAGAATCCAAGATACTTGAATGCCCACATTTGTAGCAGCACTATTTACAATAGCCAAATTATGGAATTAGTCTAGATGTGTATCAACAGATAAATAAAGCAAAGAAAATCCTGTGTTTAAACATAATGGGGTATAGGCAACTATAAAGAAGAACAGTGTTGTTCCATTTGCCTCAGAATGGATGGATCATTATTTTAAGCAAAATATGCCAGACTTGGGAAAACAGGTGTCATATATTTTCTCTAATATTTGGAATTTCAGGTTATAAAAAAAGAAACAAGTTTTTAATGAACATGAAAGTAACAGGGAACCTATTGAAACATAGAAGGGGAAGCAGGATGAAGGAGATAAAGGAGGGCTATTGGGGTTAGATTCAGTTGAAGTACCTGATAGGCACCCATGAAAATGTCACAAATGAAACAACCAAATTGTACCACTAACAGAATGCTGAGGAAGAAATATACTGCATATCTAGGTGTGGTGAAAATTCACTGTGAATTAGTAATAAGAAGACTGCCCCAAAGAACAATTTTCTTTTTTCTCTTCCTTATTCTTTTGTTTTCTTTTTTGTGTTTGAAATAGTCTCATGTAGTTCAGGCTAGCTTCAACTCCTAATGTAGCTGAGGATGACTTTGAGATCCTGATCCTCCATGCTTCTATATCCTGAGTACTGGGAACATGGGTGTGCACCAGTGTTCATGTTCTTAATGACAGAGAATGTCCAGATCACAAACAGAAAAATACACAGGAACTTGTTCAGCTACTGCTACTAACCTTGAGATCCAAACAGCATAAACCAGTGCTCATATGGTCAGCAGCTTTCTCATTCAATTTCTTTCCATGGGAAGTAGCTGCCACAGTAAACAAGAAGCAGTGTGTGGACGGACTTCCATCAACGGCTGGGATTCAAATGACTGTCTCTTGTACTAATATCCTTCTTTGAAAGCAATGAAGGAAAATGTAAAACCCTAGCAAAAAAATGTAAACTATCAGTGTCATCCTGGAAAGTTACCAATGTTTTAATATCCATTTCTCCTGAAAATCTGCTAAGCCCAAAGCCTTGTAGCATAAAAATTGAGTTCATGGTCTGCTATGATGTGAACAGCCCGGTGCCACACACAGTCATCATGCTTTTCCTCCTGTGGTGGACTGAAATGCTCTGAAATCATGAGCCAAAATATCTTTCCACCCTTAAGTTGGATATCAGGTAAGTTGGACACACACAGCAATGTATAAGTAACTAATATCAAGCCCCTACTGACCTGGGATTTCCTACTTAGAAATGGGTCCCTCTAGTATTTCAGGTAAGAGGCTGATGAGGGCTGCCTGACTTATTTGTCTGCTTGTATTCGCAGAGGGAATTAGTAATAGGTTCCAGTGAGGGATAGGCTTGTTTACTGGGGCCACCTAGAGATAGCACCCTTGCCCAGCATCTCTAATCACGACTATCTGCAGGAGAGTCAGGGGGTTTGGAGGGAGACCAGGGACAGCATGAACTTTCGATGCCCTTTAAGTTTTACCAGGGAGGCAGGCCCTGCTTCTGTGAGATCAGCAACAGCAGCAACTCTTAAACTCTTTTACTGCCTCTCTGGGGCTTAAATTAACCTGAAAGGCCTTCCTTCCCTGGCCAAGCCTCAGCCCAGGGCCAGGCTACAAGATAAGACTTTCCTTAATTGAGATCTTTGCAGAACAGAAGTTGAGTCATGTCCCCTGGAACCAAGCTAAGTTTTTTTCTTTCCAGTTATCGTGGAGGATTTTATGAATGCATGGTTGGAAGCACATATCTGATTTCCAGTGTCCTTGACAGACTCCTTCAAAAACCACTCACCTTCACACGCTAAAGGCAAACTCCAGAGTCTTCCAAGACTGTGACTGCAAACAGAGCATGCCAGCCTTAGCTGACACTCACCACCAAGGACAGGTCACCCATCCACCATCTCTATCAAAAGGACACTTTCAAGATGTTTCCAAAGAGCTCTACAAAAGTCCTGATCTGTTCATTGATACCAGAGAGTACTGAAGACTGTCAGGTAGGCCCACGGATTTTTACCCATTTTCCTCTCCTGTTGTCACTGCTGCTCTCAGAAATAATATAGAATAAAAGTGAATTCATAGTTATGTATTTATATGTAAATATGTATATATGCATATACATGCATTCACACATATGTAAAGTCACTATTCCTAGAACTATTCCCAAAGGAAACTGTCTCTTAAAATGGTATTTCCTCCAAAATAATAGACTGGGATACAATGTTCATTGCGAATTGAAGTATTCAAAATACTCAGAAGGCAATGTTCTCACAATCCATTTTTCCCCTCTTGAATGAAGCAGCAACAATGAAAAGCAAACAAAAACGATCAGCATTGCAGCCAGGCCGGTTGGCACAGGCCTGTAATCAATCCTAGCACTCAGAGAAAGAGGCAGGAAGATCAGGAGTTCAAGATCAACCTCAGCTACATGAAGCAAGTATAGGCTACAAGAGATCTTGTCTTTAAAACAATAAAAACAGTACAAAGATTTTTGCATTTGTGAGGGCATGTTTAAACTAAGTTGATATTCTTTGTAGAGGAAGAACAGTAAAATAGACACGAAGCCTACCTCCATGTCCAAAACAAATGTCCTTCAGGAGTTCACCTTAAGGAGGCTAATTTAATCTGTTTATTTCTAGTGTAATACATGACATCAAGGAAATGGTCTTAGCCACAAAGGGCATGCAATTAGACTTGATATACTTACCTACATATCTACAAGAAGCAGGGCTGGAGAAACCAGGCCAGAAATGAGCACTGTCAGAGGGGACACACTCAGTTCTTCTAAGTTCAGATGCCTGGGGGTCTCCTTCTGAGACTGACTTGTAGTTAGAGATAATAGAGTCAAAATACTGATGCTGAGTCATGAGAAAAATGTTGGGTCACATCTGACCCCGTGCTTCCTACCAATGGAGGAAGAACAACACTTGCTGGATATTTATCCTTTTTACAGTGGTTTTCAGAAAGCTTTGATACAGAGAATGGTACTGTAGAAACTAAAGACTGAGTGCTAAAAGAACCTACAGTCAAACTCCAGCACCCATATAAAAAGCTAGGTACAGTTGCATGTATTTGTCATCTCAGATAGGAAGATACAGAGACAGGAGGATGGCTGTCACTGACCAGTCAACCTAGTTTAATCTGCAAACTCAAGGCCAGTGAGAGACCTTGTTTCCAAAACCTGAGGTTGACTTCACACACACACACACACACACACACACACACACACACACACACACACACACACGCATACACTGACAGTACTGGTCTCTCAAGTGACTAATATTAATGTCAGTTTTTCAAGAACTAAGAAGAACAAGAGGAGGATCTGCCAAAGGCTGCTCTCTTCCTTTCCTAACCCCTGTGTTACTTTTAAGTGCAGGAGTCTCCTTATCTTCAGAGAACACCTTAAAGTAAACAGTAATTGGGTAAGCATGTTATTAAACTCACATATTAAAAGTGGAAAATAAGTTTCTGAAATACAAGGGGTCATTTGCTTCAATTGTTTATTTAGGCGTGCCAGACACACCTCTCTGCTCAGTAAGACAGTGGCAAAAAGTGGATCTGTTCAAACAACATCCTTCTGTCACCACCCAAATTTGCTGAGGTTCTCTGTAAAGTCTTTTTTGCTTGTTAATAAAATTCTTGGAGGTGTCACACCAACTACATTTGTATTTGTAGCTGTGCACATGAAATAACGTGCATGTGGAGGGTAACTTTTAGGCATTGGTTTTCTTCTCCTGCTACATAGATTCAACGATGGAACTTAGATCATCAAGCATGGTGTGGCAAGTGTCTTTATCTAAACGATCTTGACAGTCTTAGAAAAACTACATTTTTATTGTTTGTTTGTTTGGTTGGCTGGCTGGCTGGCTGGCTGGCTGGCTGGCTGGCTGGCTGGCTGGCTGGCTGGCTGGTTGTTTGGTTGGTTGGTTGGTTAATGTTTATAGACATTCATTCCACAGCCCAGGTTAGCCTCACCACAGCACAGGATGGCCTTGAACTTGAAGTAGTCCTCTTGCCTCCGCCTCTGAAATACAGGAATTATTGGCATATTCCAAGGTCCTGACTATTGATTAACTATGTTTATTATAAAGTAACAGTTGTGCCATACAGTTCCAGACTCAAGACATATCCATGTTAATCGGAACCCATAATGACCACCTGGACTGTTAAAAAAAGATCAAATGGAGTGTGTGTGTGTGTGTGTGTGTATGTGTGTGTGTGTGTGTGTCTGTGTGTGTGTATACAGTTATGGGTGAGTGTACACAGTAGATAGAGTAGTCCACAGAGAGATCCAGAGATCTGTTTTACTCCACTGACAATAACATTGATACTCTCCATAATAAAAATAAATATGAGACTTGAAGAGTACTCTTCATAGGTAAGAGTACTCACTACATGAGGGGCTGAGTTTGGATCCCCAGCCCCCACGTGGAAGAAGTTGGGCCAATGTCTGCCTTTATCCCCAGCACTCTGGAGAGTAGACACAGGAACTCCCTTGGTGCTTGCTGGTTGTTCAAGGATCAGTGGGAGGCCCTGTCTTAGAAGAACAAGACAGAGAGTAGACAGAACAGGGCACTGAACATTTTCCTCTGGTGCCATATTTTTGTGTGTAGTCACATGTACCTTCATGCACATGTTCACCCAATTACACTTATACATACTGAAGGAAGAAAGGAGGGAGGGAGGAAAGGAGGGAAGGAGGAGACCAGTCATTTGGATCTCTCTTGATGGAGATCAGATTCTGCTTCTTATTGGCTGTGCGATTTTGAAGGGGCTTGTTAGCCTCTTTGATTTGTGGTTTTCACATGTAAAATAAAGGGAACAGTAGTTATCTAACCAGTGTAGATGATTATTACATCCCACCAGAGAGAGAATGATATAATAAATTATTACTCATGTTTTTCTTTATTATTGGTTTATCAATATCCTTTAAGGTAATCTATGTCTACCCGACTTGAAGATATTCTGGTTTTCAGCCTAAAGCAAGCACTAAGATGTGCTGAAGAGGCAAAGAAGGAAGGGGTTCAACGCTTTAAACACACAGATTGGCACACTGAAGACCCACTGCCAGGGTGAGGTAGAAGACAGATCTTCGGCTCTGTGAAAAACTCTCCTGAATACCCAGATATTTTTAGATAATTTTCAAAATGCAAATCTGACATATGCCAAGAGGCATAGAACAAACACCCAGGAATATTTTGCTTTGATTTTACACTGGTTATTTTTACAGATCTGTCTTGCTGTGTGGATTTCATTGTGAATGAAATGAAGCTGCGATCTTGCTTCCATGGAAACCAGTTTCTTTGTGATTGGCTGAGCCGTTTCCAGGCACTTCAATCTCTCAGAAAGGACAAGGACTGTTAATATTTAACAGATGCGGTAAAATCCACCAACCCTGTGACATTTGTTATGCAACTCATATTAACAGAGCAAAAGCGATTCAAAGCCAACTTAACATCTTCTCACCCTGAAGTACTCTTGTGGACTTTTTTTCCTTGTTAGAACTCTAAATAAAGAAACACAGCAGTGGGAGTAGAGCAGGAAAAGCTGGACGAGGAAGCCATCACCACCCTGAAGGGGATGTGCCAAAGTCTCATCTCACTTGGGATGGATGTGGCCTCTGTTCTGTTTGCTTAGGAGATAGAACAGATTTTCAATGAGCAAGATTTGTCCAAAAGAAATTTTTCTACCATTTCCTCTAACATACAAATATAAGGAATCATGAACATGCAGGGGTGATTTACTAGGTAAGCTACATGGAGCAAGCAGGAAGAATGAAATGACCAAAGGAGACAATGTGTTTCCCAGAGTGAATGGAAAATTAGAAGGGATTTTTGTTGTTTTGGTTTGGTGGGATTTGTGTGTGTGTGTGTGTGTGTGTGTGTGTGTGTGTGTATTTATATTTGAAACTCCTATGGTGCCTTGAATAGGCTGGTTTAAACCCCATAAACAGTTGACCTGACAAGGGTTAGCTCTTGAATCCCAGACTGATGCCTAGGAATCCAGCATGGGACTGACCAAGACCCCCTGAATGTGGGTGTCAGTGAGGAGGCCTAGGCAACCTACTGGCCTTGGGTAGTAGATCAGTATTCATCCCTGGCATACAAATGGACTTTGGGTGCCCATACAACAATGAGAGATGCTCTCTCAACTTAGACTTTTGGGGGAGGGTGTAGGCCCTGCCCTGGATGAAATGACAGACTATGGACACCCCCATGGAGGGCCTCACCCTCCCTGGGGAAATGAGAGGGTATTTGGGAGGTTGGTGGGAGGGCATGGGAGGAAAGGAGGGAAAGGGAGAGGGACCTGGGATTGACATATGAAGCAACCTTGTTTCTAATTTAAATTTAAATTTAAAAATAAAAATTAAAAAAGAAAGAAAATAAAAGGCTATTTTTTCATTAGCCTTTTATTTCATTAAAAAAAACAAGAAAGTGTTCTTGGGCTGGAAAGATGAGTCACTGGTTAAAAATACTGGCTGTTCAAGTCCCAGCACTCACACAGCTATCTCAAAACCACCCATAATTCCAGTTCTAGGGGTTTCAGTGACCTCTTCAGACCTTCATGAGCATACAAATGTTGGACATACCTACACTTATAAAATAAATAAAGAAGTGATTTGAAAGGAGGAGTCTTAAGAGCAGGGAGGGTCTGAGGATGTGGCTCAGAAACTAGAGTCCTTGTCAAGCACGCACAAATCCCTGGGCTCAATACACAGCACGACATGAAAGCAAGCATGGTGGCACACACCTGTAATCTTATCCCATGGCAGCTAGAGACAGGGAGATAAGAAGTTCAGTTGTCAGCTATAGTGAGTTCTGGACCATCCTGGATACATGAGCCCAGCAAAACAGAAGTTAAAACACAAGAGAGCCTTGGCTTCCAAAATTTAATTTCCAGGTACTCATCTCTGAAGATGGAGTTTCTTTCCAGCTACTTCTAATTGCTAATCTAATGTAATACTGTATATATAATAACATCTCAGATATGACCAATTAATGTAAATGTATAAAATACTGCCAGAACATACATTAAAATATTAACCAAGATTATTTTCTCTGGGTTTATAGAGTTTTGTTTTTTCTTTAATGTATATAGTATTATCTCTACATTTTTGCACAAAAGATATGTTATTTTAAAAATAAAAATTATGTATTATAGAGAAAGCATCAATATTTTCTAGTATCTTCTTTGTAAAAAAATGATCTTTTGATGTATCACAGGGTTATCCAATTAAAAATGGCACATATCTATGATCTCTTTCCAGGTACACTGCAGCCTGTAGGAAGGTATTGCAGACAGTAGAATCTCACTTATCTATAGAAAGATGAAAGCCAGGGATCAGCCAGCTTGTCATGCTATGAATTAGAGCTTGAAGGTGTCTAGAGATCTGAGGTACAAAACACTTAGATTATATACCACTTATACATTGATAATTTTCATGTTATTTTAAACCAAGTCACAAATCCATTATCATGCTTTGACTTCTCCTGAATGTGACACATTGGTGATGTAGACTGTCTTAGGGTTATTACTATCACTATGATAAACCTCAGTGACCAAAAACAAGTTTGGAGGAAAGGGTTCATTTGATTCCCAATTGCAGTCTATTATTGGAGGAAGTCAGGGCAGGAACTCAAAAAGGGCAGGGACCTGGAGGCAGAAGCAGATGCCATGTAGGGATACTACTTACTGACTTGCTTCCCATGGCTTGCTCAGCCTGCTTGCTTATAGAACCCAGGACCACCAGTCCAGGGGTGGTCCCACCCACAGTGAGCTCCCCAAGCCATCAATCGCTAATTAAACTTCCACCTCTGCGATGACACTAGTTGTATCAAGTTAACATAACAGTAGCTAGCACACATACACAAACATTCCTATAATAAAGATCAGCATTGGGGTACATACCTGTGGGGTACACGCCTGTAGTCCTAGCACTGTGGAGTTGGAGGCAGGATGATTAGGAGGTCAAGTTCATCCTTCCCTACATACTGAGGTAAAGACCAGCCTTAGAGACCCTGTTTTAAAAAACTAAAAGAAAAAGGCATAATGAAGTTTATTATTTTGTATTACTAACACCACCCCCCCAAAATTAAAAAGACAAGCAGCTAATAAACATTTGTTAAGTAACTTATAACAATTCTTTGTTATAATCTTTAAAGCCATTTATCTATGCAGTTAAGTGTCATTATGAGCTAAAAGAGGTACTTTGAATTTTTCTTTCATCTATTTCCCCAAATTTGAAACTCAGACACAAAACAGACGCGCTTTCGTAGGCATCAGTAGAGCTTCATTTAGGGCACAGTTTAAAGGTTGCGGTTCATATAGGGCAAAGCCTGGACAGCACACCAGGGAGCTGCGTCTCCAGGCCCAGTGGATAGAGAGGCAGCTCCTTCTGCTTCAACCGCTGCTCCAGTCTTATCCTAGAGTACTATCAACAGCCAGGGAAGGTGCAGAGTCCTGATGTGCACGTTTGAGAAAATGAAGAAATGGACATCTAGCTGCCCACAGGAAAGAGCCTTTACCTTCCGTTTTCTCGGGTTGCTCGTTTGTTTTAAGGAGCCTGAATCCCAAGAATCCCAATTCATGTACATGAATTAAGTGGAAGATGGCCCTTGCTCCTGACAGACACAGCCAGGAGAATCCAGTGTTTCAGATTCATGAATAAAGTGGGGTTTGCCGGCATCCCTCCCATTCAACCCCTGCAGGAGTCCTCTCACAAAAGCAGCCTACGCACACTGTCTGCCCCATCGCCTTTCATGAACTGGAGACACAATAAAGTTGGGTCTCTTTAACTGGAGGGTATTTTATATGTGCTGTGTGTATGTGGGTGTGCGTGTTTGCATATGAAAGCCAGAGGACAACTGGGAGTATCATTCCCCAAGCACCATTGGTGTTTTCTTGACAGGGTCTCTCACTGCCCGGCAGCTGTAAGCAAGGCCAGCTTGCCAGCGAGTCTCCAGGGATCCACTTGTCTCTGCCCTGTGTGTGTATTTTACATCCTGAGCACTGGGATTACCGGAGAATACACCACACCTAGCAATTTTCTCCTGTAGTTCTGGGTTTCAAACCCAGGTCTTGCCAGGCAGTAGTAGCACACACCTTTAATCCCAGCATTTGGGAGGCAGAGGCAGGCGGATATCTGTGAGTTCAAGGCCAGACTGGTCTACAAAGCTACACAGAGAAACCCTGTTTCAAATTAAAAAATAAAAAAACTCAAGATTTGTGTTTGTTTGCTTTCCTGCTTGCAAAGTAAGCACATTACCAGCTGATCCATCACCCCGGGCGCTGGAGGCAATTTTGAGTCTTTGCCAAAAAAGTATCATTTAGTTAATGATACACACACACACACACACCTGATTAATAACAAAGATGTGATTTAGAGAGCAGAGTTATACAAAAAAATCTTTTTCTTAACTAAAAAGAATAAAGTAATTCCTACCTCTTCCAGTGAGGGAACAGCTTAATGATGGAACATACATCATGCCGACACCTGGCCCTGATTGTCTAATAAAATGCTGGTTCTCCGCCATTTTGCCTCGGTCATACTGAGCTGCTGCTGATGTTGTTTTTAAAATCTAACTCTTTCTTTCCCTAGACCCAAAATCTCCACATTCCCCCATACAGGGTACAAGCTCTATTTCCTCTCCCACTCCAGTGCTCTCTGCCTCATGAATTTTAGAGTAGCAGGCAGCGTGCCATCTACTCTGAACCCATCTGGAAGCACTGCAAATTAGTTTTGTGTGAAATGTGAGTGCAAAACTCAAAGCCAGCTCTGACTTTATATTTTATAATGAGACTGAAATTTGGCCGGTGTTTGTAAAAGTCATGCCAGCATTTGCTAGGGGTCTATGAGCAAAAAAGTCCAGATTTGCTGAGAGTGAGGAAGCAGTCAGGCCTGTGTCTGAAATGTCGCTTTGAACGCTGACCCTGAAAAAAAAAAATGAGTGAAGCTGATTCACAAGACTGGGGGGACATGTGTGCAGTCCTGTGTCTCCACAATGTTGGGCCAACCATCCTGTAGCTGATCAGATCTCTCCCCTCCAGATGAACTGAGGAGACAAACGAGCTGCTTCATAGTCCCTGAGGGTCCTGAGAGCAGCAGTCAGCCTTCTCAACTATGCTTTCATGGATGCATAGAGAATTCACCTGCCATCCTGTGACCAAATTAAAATGCAGTGGGAGGAAGGCAATCACACTTTTCCAGTTATGGCATTGATCACTATGGAATAGAGGGGCAGATTCCAAAATACCTTTTATCTGTCTCTAAGACAGCGGTGACTCTCCCAGAGACTCTACTCCTATAATCTCACCAAAAAGGACCCTGCTGTGTTTATAGTTTAATAAAGCATATTGTAGTCATATTTCTCTGATCTGGTGTAACTTGAGCCAGTAGCAATTTGTACAGGGAAAAACTGCAGGTGATGATTTAGCATGTGATATATATGGAAATTAGGGATAGGCATGATGACCTGAGTTTGTTCCCCAAAACCCACATGTGTAAGCAGAGAACTGACTCCTGAAAATTGTCTTCTGTACACACACACACACACACACACATTCAAACACATGTACACCATGCACCACAATAAATAATAAATAGTGGGAAGATGTATAAACCAGAGAAAGCTCATCACCTATTTATCATCTATTTAAGCTTTAGAGTGATGGACATTATGCAGAGGAGAGATTAGAATTAAACAGCTGGAATCAAAATGAAATATACAAAGAAGCAACACAAAGTACATGGGTCTCATTGATGAGATAAATTCTTTTAAGGTTCCAAACAACATGGAAGAAGAAAACCACGGCAGAATGCAGTGCACGAGTCTCTGTTCTCTGAGCTCTGCATTTTAATAATGAGTCAGCGGGAATATGTAAGAAAGAGGTCCTCAGAGCTGGACAAGACAGAAGACAGAGCCCTACTGTGACCTCCCTCTCCTGGTCCCTGCATTCTCTTCCAGCTGACAGCTTAATAGTGCCCAGGACACATGTGCCTCTGCCAAGCATCCCCACATCCTTGAGTTTCACTTATACCCATTCCCATAAGTAAATTAATGGTAACACAAAAAGGGCCAGAAAAAAAAAGACCCAGTAGATAAAGTACAATCCTGACACAAGTTCAATCCTTGGAACCAAAAACAGATAGATGGAGAGACCAACTCTACCAAGTTTCATGCTGTCATGTGCTTAGTCTCCCCCCACCACCACAGGCACACCATGTACTCACACATACAGTAATAAAATAATAATTAATAATAATAATTTTAAAGTGGTTTAACCCTCAATGTATATGTGTACATAATTAACCAAATTTCCCTTCTTGGAATTTTGAAATACTTTGTATTATTATATTATACTTTTTATATACATGTTTTGCTTTCTGAATTCTCAGGAAAGCTTTAATAAATCATGAATAATATATCACCACATATACATCTTTGTGGGTACATGTATATATGTGTGTTCTTGTATGTACAGTTGCTTATTCATGTGTGTGCAGAAGTCAACCTCAGCTATCATTGTTGAGGAGTCATAAAACCTATTTTGAGATAGGATCTCTCACTGAACCTAGAGCTTATCCAAAAGGGTAGTCCAATTGGCTAACAAGTTCCAGGAATCCCTCTGTCTCTTCCTCCCTGGCATTAGAAGCAGAAGTTTGTGCCATGATATCTGCCTTTTTGAATGTAGGTTCTAGGGATCTGACATAGACCCTCATGCAAAGAAAGCATTTTACGAAAAGAACTGTCTCCACAGCACCTTGTTCGTGTCTCATACTCCCTGACAGGCCCAAAGAGCACCAAGAAGTACTTAGCTCACTACTTCATGATTCACAGAAACTAACACTCAATCTGAGTTGGAGGACATATTTCAATTGTTACTCATCCATCTATGCTATATCTGTTTCTTCCAAAGTCCAAATTGATTTATGGCTGAGAACAGAAAGACAGGGGTTAAAATACCAAAGGATTCATTTCAGCACCATCCTGCTTTCCTCCTAAATGCACCTCTGTATTTATTCATTCATTCCACAAGGGAAGTACAAGGCACTTTGCTAGTTTTAGGACCCAGAGTAGAGACAACATGAACTTGGCCCACCAGAGTCCAATAAGGAATATAGAAAATGAGAAAAGTATTGCAATAATGCAATGAGGGGCATTTTTGCTTTGCGAACAACTGAGAAGTATGGTGGGGATGGAGGAGAACAAGTGGATTAGGAATACCTAGTCCACCTGCTGCAGAAGCGTGCACCTTTGTAGTCCCAGAGAACACAGAAGCATGGAGATGAAACTCAATAAGCACCCATCTTCCTGACTGAGTGGTGGTAGCAAGTTCGTCTGTACGCAGCAGGTGTTCTATGTCTGCTCTACAAACAGACCGATTTTTAGCTAGGTAGGCTACAAAAGCGTAACTATGGATGATATCTGTTTTACTTAAAGATGGATTCTGCTCCTCAGATGGGCTTCTTACAGCATGGGAACTGCCCAAGTGGTAGACTGGCCTGAGAATCTTTCCTTGGACCATTTGAGTTTCAAGAAAGGCAGTCGGCTGAAACAAAAGCTAGGTGAACACAGTCATATCTGAGCACTGTCTGTATTGTTCTCTGGGTCTAGACCATGTCACACATTGTGAGTGTTCAAGAAAAATAAAAATGAAGCCGGGTGGTGGTGGCACACGCCTTTAATCCCAGCACTCGGGAGGCAGAGACAGGTGGATCTCTGTGAGTTCGAGGCCAGGCTGGACTGACAGCCTCCAAAACAATACAGAGAAACCCTGTCTCGTAAAAAAAACAAAAAAAAATACATAAGTGTACAAATGAGGAAAAGCTCTGACATGATGAGGCTAGATCAGAGATGAGACACTCACACAGAGACCACACTTCATGAAGAGCAAAGAGTCTCTTACCATTTCTTTCCTTTTTAAAAAAAATTTATTATTTATTATGCATACAGTGTGATGCCTGCATATATGCCTACATAATAGAAGAGGGCACTAGATTGCATTACAGATGGCTGTGAGGTTTCTGGGAA